GAAATATATTGTATTAATAATATGTTGTAACCACCCCCAAACAATGTTACAACTGTCCCCGGGGTCAGTTGTAACACCTGACTTTTCATTTTCAAATGTAAATAGTGAATAATGTACATGATTTAATCGTCTATAAATGGTTTTAACTATTAACAGACAGATGTAAGTTTATTGTGTTAAAATTTGGTTTATCTAATTCAAACCATCTCTGAGGAACAGAGTCAAATGTAAAAACGTGTTGCAACTGTCCCCGGTCTGCCCTACGCTCCGACTGGGCGGTGAGATTTCCTCCAGACCTTGAACGCAGCACCGGGTCAGGCTCAGCAGCTGCTCTGTGAGCAGACAGGTCCTGCAGCAGCAGCAGCTGATTAAACACACGCGCTTCCTCTCTGTTTTCGATATTCCCCACATTTTCTGAACTTTGATGACTTTTAATGGACGCCATGTATTAATGGACTCCATTTAAATATAAAAAACCTTAGAAGAAGAAACTGTGCCTTTATTTTCAACAGGGACTAAATTCGCCGATAACTTCATCAAGGAGTTAAAGGTAAATTGTATTTTTATTATTTATCACAGCTTTTGATTCATTGGTTCTCCTCCATCTTGTTAGTGTGCTTTAAAAAGTGACTCCTTACACTGCCTAAAAGATCAAATGTCTTTACTAATTGTTTTTTCTTCATCCCGTTATTTAATTTGTGCTCTGGGCTCATCAGACAATATGTAACTATAGAGCCCCACCCACATCACTTCACTGTGTAACATCAACACGAGTGTGCAGCTTAACAAAGGTAGAAACTTTATCCAAAGGGAAACAGCAGCTCTCCTCCACCCCCAGGAGACTTTTTCCGATGGGTAACACAGCCTAACTGCCCCCCAGGTCCAGCATGTTTTCAGTGACCACCTGTGTCTGACCTTCAGCTGCAGCAGGAGCATGGGCCTGTTTGAGAAGAGGGAAAGGGTTTTGTGCAGTTGTCAGGCTGTCCTGAATCTGTCACATGTTCTGTGTCATTTTCCCAGCATGTTGGTTTTAAGTTACATTAGCTCTGTGATAAATACAATCTTTGTTCAACACTTACCAACTCTCAACTAATTAGTTTACTTAGTGCCACCTTTTGAATTTGCACAGGTGGTAATGATATTTATATTTAAAGGCACAGTGTGTAGGGTTTATTGTTTTCAGCGACATCTAGTGGTTGAGTGGTTGAATCATCCTCCCTGGTCCTCCCCCCACCCCCACCCCCCGCTTCCAAACACAAAGGAGKTKCTACGGTGTCTCTCAGGGGTCAAAAACCTTTGATAATTCCAACCGCGATGTCTACCAGCAGCTTCAGGGCTAGTGATGTTTCAAGTGGTAAGATTATGAGCTTTAATAAGTAAAATTATCTAGCTGCATGAATTGCAAAAACAACTGGATGAACCTGAACTGAAGTTCACCCAGCCACATACAGTGAGGTGGCTGTCTGTGTCGGTGGTGTGCAGATCACTGAAATCCCTGAGAGATGTCCTGGAGCACACGGTTTCATCTGATGGTCAATATGCTGACAAAGGCAAAGGT